TCTGAAGCCCTCATCTGCCCTGCTCATATCTAACTACCTACTCTAACAAACCCTACTTTGAGAAATGCTATTTGACCTTGAACAATAATTTTATCTTTCTGAGCACCCTATTTTGTTTTCTTTTCTTTTTTTATTTTGAGAAAAGAAAGAATTCATTTGATGATTTGTAAGATTCATACCCAGGGCCACAAAATCAAAATGTTTCTGGATAGAGACTATATTGATTTTTAAGTTCCATGAAAAACTTAAATATACAGATAGAGCCAAAGGCAAATATCGGTTGTTACTTATGGGATGTGTGGGAGGATATAGATGGTCCTTCAAAGTTTTATTTTGATATTTTCCCAGATTGTTTGTTTTATCATTTTCATTTCAATTTTTAATTTATATTTTTAATCCTTAATTGCCTTAAGTAGGATTATAAAGTCAGCCCTTTATTATCTATTATAATGACAATCAAAAGTAGTAAGCGCAATTAAAACAGTCAGAAAATTCTCCAGTTTTACTCTGAGCCTGTAAAATCATTTCTATATACAACTCTAACCTGAGAGTACTGAAAATTAGAAGCCTCAAAACAAAAGGGCTTGACTTTGCTCTTCATCTACCTTTCTTGTCATCCTATTCAGGCATAACATTGTAAATGCAGCACATAAAATATATTTAGATGATCATGTATGTGAGTACAGTGTGGCAATTTATACCACATTAATTACAAGTATTCTTATTTTGACTACATACTTGATTTACACCAAAAGTGAGATATAAAGTCAAAATATTCATTTCCATTACCAACTTTTTTGCTTAATCAAAAGTAAAATAAATATGTGAACACAGCACAAATCAACATTTAGAAATTTTCTATCTGGTCTTTAAATATAATACATATATAACTGTCTTAAGGATAAAGCCAACTTTGTTATTTTTCTTCAGGATTTCTTTGGCCGTTTGTTTTTTTCTTTGTCATTCCATGTAAATTTGAGAATTTTTTATTACTGTGAAAAATGTCACTAATAATTTGATAGAAATTGCATTGAATCTGTAAATTGCTGTGGTTAGAATTATCATTTTGACAATATTAATTGTTCCCATCCATGAGCATGTAATATCTTTTCTTTTTTTGTGTACTCTTTCATTTCTTTCATTAGCATTTTATAATTTTCCTTGTATAGATCTTCTACTACTTTGGTTAAATTGAATCATAGGTATTTTATATTTTGGAGCTGTCGTAAATGAGATTGTTTTCTTGATTTTTTTTTTTTCAGATTTTCTTGCCATTGACATTTATACATGCTACTGATTTTTGTATGTTGATTTTGTCTTCTGTTACTTTACTAAATTCATTTATCAATTCTAACAGGTCCTTTGTGGAGCCTTAGGATTTTCTAATATAAGAATATGTCATCTATGAACAAGCTAATTTGATTTCTTTCTTTCCAACTTAGATGCCCTTTATTTTTTTCTCTTACCTAATTGTTCCGGTCAGTATTATATTGAGTAAAATTGATGAAAGTGGATCACCTTTGTCTTTTTCTAGCTCTTAGAGAAAAGGCTTTCAATTTTTCTCTATTCAGTACAATGTTGATTGTAGGTTTGTCAAATGTGGCTTTTATTATTTTGAGTTAGGTTTATTCTATATAGAGTTGGTTGAGGGTTTTTTATCATAAAGGTATGTTATTGTTTGTTGAATGTTTTCAGTATCTTTTGAAATGATCATATATTTTTTATTCTTGGCTCTGTTAATGGGATGTATCATGTTTATTAATTTGCATGTGTTGAACCATCCTTGCATCCCTGAGATGAATCTCACTTTATCATCATGAATGATCTTAATGGGTTGTTGGATTCAGTTTGCTAGTATTTTGTGGAGAGATTCTTGCATCTATGTTCAGCAGTTCCATTACCAGGTAATACGGTGTAAGAGGGAACATATTTACTCTTCTTCCTGAAACAACTATACAACCAGACAAAATATATTAAATGATAATTTCCAGACATTTAACAGTGATGTCTGAGACATGGGAAACAAGTAAAGTAATCCTATAACTTCTCTAGTTGACGGTCTGGAGGGAATTTCCAGGCTACACAACAGGAGGGGGAAACTCAGGCAGAGCCTAGTAGTCTTCCTAAATTAAGGAGATTACAGGTAAATAGAAAAATATTATTTGTATTTATGTATTAGCAATAATATTTATCAATTTTAAATTTTAAAATACCATTTGCAATAACATCAAAATAATAAAACACTAAGAAATAAATATGATAATATGTGTCAGACCTGTACAATAAAAATTACAAAATATGGTTGGGAGAAATTAAAAATTGTAATGAAATGAAGACATATATCACATTCAAAGATTGGAATATGCAATATTTTTATCATATTTCCTAAAGTTGAAATTTATATTTAACATAATTTCAGCATTTAGTTTTTGTAGAAAGTACTAAGATAATTATAAAATTTTCATAGAAATGAAAACAAATCCTAGAATAGCCAAAATAATGTTGAACAGGAAATACAAATTTGGAGGATTTAAATTACCAAATTTCAGAGTTTATTACTTTGGTAATAAAAACAAATTGAATTGGCATAGACAAATAGATCAATGAAACTGAAGAGAGTGTCCAAAAATATGGTCAACTGATTTTCAACAAAGAAACCACAGTAATTAAATGGTGCACTAATAATTACATTGCATATGCCAAAAAAGAACTTCTGACCTTCCTAATATTAAACAATTTACAAACAATACCTTTAAATGGATAATAGACCAAAATGTACAAGATACAAATATAAAGCTTATAAAAAATAAACCCAATTCCTATAAAAGAAATTATATTTTATATATAAAAGAAAAAATATTTTAGTGAACTTTGGTTAGCAAGTATTTCTGACACTGGACTCAAAAACCATGATTTAGGCTGCAATGAGCCATGCTTGCAACACTGCACTCCAGCTTGGGTGACAGAGTGAGACCCTGTCTCAGAAAAACCCAAAAAGTATGAACATAAGTTTTTTTTAAAATTAATATATTGAATTAAACTTTAAAATATTACTATTTGAAATATATTGCTACAGAAATGAAAAGGCAATCCACAGCATGGAAGAAAGTATATGCAAAACCTATGCACAATCAAATAGCAGAGTGCAAACTTTCTTAAATCCATTTGTCCATGCAAGCAACAAAATAGTAGCAAAAAAATGTCAAAATCAACCTTTTTATAAAGCTGGAAATTAACTAGGGGGTTACAGCAATCTGAGGAGTGTTTATTCAATCAAACTTGGAGCCATAGTAGGAAAGTCTGGATTTGTTGTGTTTTAACTCAACACACTCTCATTTTCATGTCCCCAGTTCTGTGGGAACCATGAAAACTGGCAACTTCACAACCATAGTAGTTGTGAAAATTAGCAGCCTTGCAGGCAAGAGTTCACAGAACAGAGCTGGTGTGCCTCAAAAAATTCTACTCCCAGAGCATTCTTACTGTTTATCCTGTATCCTGGTACACTAGAAAAGGCTCATTTGCCAAACATTGACAAATAATGTAAGTTTACTCCTCAGGAAAAGTTTTGCCTGTGGTATTTGTCAAAAATAATAAGTGGCAGTCATTAAACATTATAGCTGCCTGAGTCTACAATACCAATTGGGGCAAGTAAAATCCAGGCAAAAAACAACTTAAAGGGAGATACAGGAAATACTATATCCCTGGAGGCATTTGAAATATTCTGACAAATTCCTGGGAATCTAGAAAACTAAATGCAAGTACAACGTTGTGAACATGCCAAATAAATTTCTAAGAGGACCACAATCCTCCAGCTGACTATGATGCCCTGCACAAGCAGTAAGCAATAGCTAAGGTAGGGTTGTTAACTGCCTGAGTGTTGAAGGCACGCCCCTACATGCACACAAATCTGTTTGTCAAAGACTGAGAGATTTATTAGTTTCATGCATTTAAGGAAGTCTGTAACCAATTATTAGCTAACCAATAAGCTAGCTAGACTTCAGTGTTTGTACCCAGTAAAGAATACATATAGACCTTACAGAATTAGTTCACGAAGGTCACTAAACACAAAGCAACAACAAAGCAAACAGCAATGAAAACAAACTCTAGGGAGGGAGGGGGGATCTGATTTCTAGAATTGCCACATTGTATTATTTTAAATGTATAATTTTCAACAAGTGAATATTTGGTAATGCGAAGACACAAGAAAATATGGCCCACACCTAGGGAAAATAAAGTGCTCCGTAGAAAAACTATCTGAAGAAGCTCGAATATTGAATTCACCTGACAAAAACTTTAAATTAGCTACTAAGCCATGTTCAAAGAAATAAAAGAAACCATTTATTTAAAAAATAGAATGATGCCTCACATTATAAAGAATATCAATATAGAAACACGAATGTTTTAAAGGAACTGAATTGAAATTCTGAAGTTGAAAATAACTGGAATAAAAATTTTACTAAAGGGGCTCAATATAGATTTGAATTGGCTGAGCGTGGCTCACACCTATAATCACAGCACTTTGGGAGGTCAAGATGGGAGGATTGTGTATAGCCAGGAGTTTGAGACTTATTAAGCAACACAGAGACACCCAATCTCTACCAAAAAAAAAAAAAAAAAAAAAAAAAGTTAAAAATTACCCAGGCATGGTGGTGCAGACCTGTAGTCTTATCTACTTGGGAGGTTGAGGTGGGAGAATTGCTTGAACCCAAGAGTTGGAGGCTGCAGTGACGTCGTGCCACTGCATTCTAGCCTGGTGTCAGAATGAGACTTTTTCTCTAAAAACATATTGCTTTGAATTGGCAAAATAAACAGTGAACTTGAAAATAGGTCAGTTGGGATTGTACATCCTGAGATACAAAAAGAAATACAGATACATTTGCATTTTCAGCTCTGACATTGAGACAGTTAGAAGTGTCATTCTTATATTTTTAACAAGAAAAAGTTGGATAAACTGAAAATCAATGACTTATCTTGGATTCATGTAAGAACTGATGTCACAATCATCCTGAAATCTAGAAAAACAGTTGAATCCAGGGAGTCAGGGCCAATATCTGCTCACGTGGAACAAATGGACACTGTGACAGTAAACAGGTAATGTTACTGAATTACTTTAAATGGCACTTGAATGACAATTAAACAGTAATTTTGATGAAATTATGGAATCTAATTATGAATAAGCATTAAAAGCAAGAAATTCCTGGGTTCCAGAGTCTTTGCAAAGGGTGCAATGTCATGGGATTTGCTTCCAGGAATAGTACCAGCTTCTCATGATGAGGATCCACGAAAAATTCCCTTCTGGATCTGGCATGGAGAGGGAAAAAGTAATGACTGTAAAACAGACTCAGCTTTTTTTCTTCGTAATGAAGCCCTGCTCTGCAGAGGAAAATAACTTTGCTAGAGCCTTATCCTACTTAGGTGAAAGGATTCACACGACTCCAGCCCCTCTCTTACTTTTGTCTCATGTAAGCAAGGAAACCCTCTCTCACTGGAAAAACATCTGTAAATATCAAATCCAAGAAACACAAAATTATTACAAGATTGAGATTTACAAATAAAATTCGATAATTTTTACACTTCCCAGCACTTTGCCACCACACTAAAAAGGCTCCAGTATAATAACAGTGGATTATGGTTTAAGAGCTGCAACATGTGTATTCTTTTGAGTAATAGAAGCTAGGGAAGCACAAAGGCAAGAAGGGAGAAACTGGCAAAGATCCTAGGGGAACTTGAAGCATCAGATACCTATGACTGTATCCAATATAAACACAGATAAACATAAACCCTCACACTAAAGGCCTGTTTGACTCAGTTCTACTTAACCACACAACATGTCTGGCTTTTAACAAAAAATTGCGAGGCATCCCAAAAAGATAAGAAAAACACAATCTGAAGAAACAAAGCAAGAAATTGAACCACATGTTGGAATTATTGTACAAGGCATTTTAAGCAATCATGATCCATATAGTAGCAGCACTAATGGAAAATGTAGAACACTTGCAAGAACAGATGGATAATGTAAGGAAACAGAAATTCTAAGAATCAAAGATCAAAACTAATTAAATTGAACACTTTGTGCAGTTTATTGTATGCCAATTATACCTCATTAAAGCTTTTTTAAAAAATAGATTGTTTATGAAAAATACAAAACAATTTTGGAATTTTTTGGGGGGAAATGATGATTTTATTACTGGTGTTATTTAGAAATGTTGGGGTATGGTGGTGGTAAGGAAAAAGACTGGCATTTATTCAGTTTTGTTCCTGTTTTAAAATTGTCTACAGACAATGCACCTCTTTTATTACCTACTTGGCAGATGAACCATTTCAACTGCCCTGCCTTTGGTAGATACCTTCTTTACCACAAGTTTCTTAGGAAAAAAAAGGATCTGGCCGGGCACGGTGGCTCACGCCTGTAATCCCAGCACTTTGGGAGGCTGAGGTGGGTGGATGATCTGAGGTCAGGAGTTCGAAACCAGCCTGGCCAACATGGAGAAACCCCATCTCTAAAAAAGAAAAAAAAAGGATCGAATTAATCCTGGGTTTGTGGCATCTGTATTACTTTCCTACTGCTGCTGTAACAAATTACAAAAAAAAAAAAAAAGCCACAAAACAAATTTATTATCATGTACTTCTAGAAAGCAGAGGTCTGAGTTGGATTTACTGGACTAACATCAAGTGTTAAGAATGCTACATTCCTTCTTTGTGGCTAGGCAATGATCCATTTCTTTGACTTTTTCAGTTTCCAGGAGCCATCTGAAATCCTGGGATCCTGGCCCTTTCTTCCATCTTCAAAGCCAGCATTGTAGCATCTTCAATTCTCTCTGAATTTGACCCTCTGCTTCCCTCCTCCATGTGAAAGAACCCTATTCACTGTATTGGGCACATCTGGATAATCCAGGAAATCACCCATTTCCAAAATCAACTAATTAGCAACTTCAATTATTTTCTTGTTAAGATTTTTTTTAGTTTTATTATAGATTCTGGATATTAGTCCTTTGTCAGATGCATAGTTTGCATATATTTTCTCCCATTCACTAGGTTGTCCATTTACTCTTGAAAATGTCTTTGCTGTGCAGAATCTCTTTGGTTTAACTAGGGCCTATTTGTCTATATTTGTTTTTGTTGCATTTGCTTTTGAGGTCTTAGTCATAAATTCTTTGCCTAGCTCAATGTCCTCAAGAGTGTTTCTTAGGTTTCATTTCAAGATTTTTATAGTTTCACTCTTATATTTAATTTTTAATATATCTTGAGATAATTTTTGTATATTGTGAAAGGTAAGGATCCAGTTGCATACTTCTGCATATGGCTATTCAATTTTCCCAGCACCATTTATTGAATAGGGTTTCTTTTCCTTATCGTATGTATTTGTTGACTTTGCCAAAGATCAGATGGTTTTATTGTGATGTGTGGCTTTATTTCTGTGTTCTCTATTCTGTCCCATTGATCTATGTGTTTGTTTTGTACCAGCATCATGCTGTTTTGGTTACTATAGCCTTGTAGTAAAATTTGAGCTCAGGCAGTGGGATGTCTCCGGCTTTGTTCCTTTTGCTTAACATTGCTTTGGCTATTCAGACTATTTTTTGGTTCCATATAATTTTTTTTTTTTTTTGAGACAGAGTCTTGCATTGTTGCCTGGGCTATAGTCCAATAGTGTGATCTTGGCTCACTGCAACCTCTGCCTCCCAGGTTCAAGCGATTCTCCTGCCTCAACTTCATGAGTAGCTGGGATTACAGGCACCCACCACCACACCTAGTTAATTTTTTGTATTTTAATTAGAGACAGGTTTTCACTATGTTGGCTAGGCTGGTCTTGAACTCCTGACCTCGTGATCCACCATCCTTGATCTCCCAAAGTGCAAGTTCCATATGAATTTTAAGATAGTTTTTTTTTTTTTCTAATTCTGAGAAGAATGGTGTTGGTAGTTTAGTAGGAGCACCATTGAATCCGTAGATTGCTTTGGACAATATGGTCATTTTAGTAATATTTATTCTTCTAATCCATCAGAATAGGGTGATTTTTTATTTGGTTTTGTGTCCACAATTTATTACATCAGTGTTTTGTGGTTCTCCTTGTAGAGATATTTCATCTCCTTGGTTAAATGCATTCCCAGGTATTTTATTTTCTGGGTGTATTCCCACAATTTAGACAACTTTGTTGAAATGGATCAATTTCTTCAAAGCCATGAACTTATAAAAACTCACACAAAGAAAAATACATAATCTGAATAGGCCTAAAGCTATTACAGAAAAGGAACTAACATTTACTCTTCCAAAATAGGGGCACAAGGCACAGAAGTTTTCATTGGTGAATGCTACCAAATATTTAAGAGATAAATAATACAAGTTATCTTTTATCTCTTCTAAGAACTAGGAGCAGAAGGAAAACTTCTTAACTCACATAAAAGCCAAATAAACTTATTACAAAAGGTAAAACTGCAGAGCAATCTCTAATGTACACATATTCAAAAATATTCAATAAAATATTAGCAAATCAAATTTCACAACATATTTTAAAATATGCACCATGACAAAGGACAATTTACTCCATGTATACGTGGCTGCTTCAATATTTGAAAATCAGTCAGTGTAATCCATATCAATAGTCTAAAAAAGAAAAATTATGTAATATTATCAATTAATGCATAAAATGCATTTGACAGTATCCAACACCCATTTATGATAAAACTCTCAAAAGACTATGAATACAAGCGAACTTTCTCAACATGGTAAATAACATTTACACAAAGTCTCCAGGTAACATATTTAAAGGCAAGAAAGTGGGTGCCTCACCATCTTTGGGAACATGGGAAGGATGTTCCTTCTCACCACGTCAGTTCAACATCATACTGGAAGCCATAGCTAGTGCAATAAGACAATTTTAAAAAATAGGAGGTATATAGATTGAAAAAGAATAAATAAAACAATCTTTGAAGATAATATGATTACCTATGCAGAAAATTCCCCAAAGTCAATAAAAAAAGTATGTCACTAGTATGTTATAAAATGATAACAAACTTGTATTACCAAATTATAATATAAAAACTACTTTCCTATATACCAGTCAGGAATAATTGGCATTTGAAATTTAAAAACATGATTTACAATAGCACCAAGAAAAAATGAAATACTTAAGTATGTGTCTACCAAAATGCGTGCAGTGTGTAAATACTGAAAACTACAAACTCTGATGAAACAAAGATGATCTACATAAAGGGAGAAATAATTCTTTGTTCATGGACTGGAAGACTTAATATTGTAAGATGTCAATATATCAATAAGTTCAAATAATTTTTTTTAAATTAAGTAAATGGATTATGTCAGATGGCTAGAGGCAGGTTTTTCACTGTTGGAATAATTGTTTACAGAAAAGCAAGGTGAGCAGGCTGAAATATTATATGTGATAATGAATTAAAATTGGAGACATCAGTATGAACTCATGTCTTGCTTAATATAGAGTCAGATGGTTACATATCCAAATATGTATAGGTATATCTATGTAAGAAGGCTAGTAGACACACATATATTCTCATGTTCTTATACCTGAGAATCTAGAAATGACACCCCAGTACAAGTGAGCGCACTTAATACTCAGATCTCAGTTTATTTAATACTCCAATAGGAGAAACTAGGGATCCTTGAAAAAATGGCTGATTCTAAAATGGGGTAGGAAATATATATGATGAGCCTGGAGCATCTCATAGTAGTGGAATATAAGAAAGTGTTCACCAAAAGACAACACACTCACACACACACACACAGACACACACACACACACAGACACACACACACACTCTCTGATGAGATTATATCAAAGCTGATACAAGAGCCAACTGATGGAGCTCCTCTTGGTCAAAACTAGACCAATTGGAGCAACAAAGTAAAATAATATATTGGGTTATAACCCAAAGTATAAAATAAAAATTCATGAATCCTCAAATAACTAGATTATTGAATAAACACCTAAACAGAGGAGAAGGAACAAATATCCTCTGCAGAAGAATTACAAATAATTTGTTTAGATAGTCCACCAGGAAGGAGGCAGAGAATAAGTCCCCTTTCTTAGTGTGACTACATACAGTAAGGAGCCTATGCATAGTGACTTCCTTTAAAATCATGGTGGAAGAAGAATGACTTTGCCATAAAGAGTGCTGACAAACCTCACCTTAGCCACATGATCTGAGTCAACATCAAAAGTCATCACATTGAGAATGCATACCCTAACATCAGTCTAATCATAAGAAAAGCATCAGACAAATCCTAATAGAGTTTTATAAAATATCTCACCAATATTCCTCAAAATGTTGACATTTAAAACAAGAAAAGTCTGAAAAACTGTCACCACCTAAAGGATTCCCAGGTGACATAGCAACGGAATGTCACTTGTGTTGAATCCAGAAACAGAAAAAGGACAATATATGAAAAGTAGGCAAATATGAATAAAGTATGAATTTTCATTAATAATACTAGTTCATTAATTTTAAGAAATTTATGATACTAATATAAAATAATAACGGAGAAATTAGTTTTACTGTATACAGGAACTCTGTACTAAATTTGCAATTTCTATGCAAATCAAACTGTTCTAAAAATAAACTGTTATTTAACAATAAATCTCCTCCAAAACACATTACAAATAAAAAACCAAATATTTCCATAGATCCTTTAGACATTAACACCATAATAAAAGAATATTTTAATCAACTTGTCAGTATTTTGAATATTTAGATAAAATTTATACATTCCTAGAAAAAAATAATTTCGCAAAATTGGCTCAGAAGTAATTTAAAACCAAACAATTATATCATTATTAAAGCATTTTCATTAACTATAAAAACCTTTCTATATTGAAAGCTGCAGATGCCAAGAATTTCACTGGCAGTTCTAACAAACATTCAAAAAAGCAATAATTCTAGTGTTACCCAAATTATCATTCTTAATAATGGAATAAGAAGGTACAAATCCCAACTTGTTCTGAGTCTAAATTTCGCTGTTAACAAACTCTAACAACAGCTATATAAGAAGTGAAATTTACATGTAACTCTCATTTAAAGTATGCATGCAAAAATCCTCACAAAATATTAGCAACATAAAGAAAGATGACACATAATTGTATTGCATTTATTTTCAGAAATGCTCTACTTGTTTTACATTAAAAATTTAACTTATATATCATATTACCATATTAAAAGGCAAAATCATATCATCTTCAAAATAAGTGGAAAAAGATATTTGATACAATTAATAACACATTTATAATAAAAACAACTTGGCTAAAATTTTATAAGAGGACATATTTTACGTGAAAACTGACAACTACTAAAATACTTCATGGTAACCCACTGAACAATTTTTATTTGACATTTCAAACCACACAAGTTTGCTCACTACCATCACTTTAACAGATGTACTGAGGTCCTAGCCAGCATGGTAAAGTTCTATTCAGTCAAAAAAGGAAAATGGTGACTATATCTATATATAATATAATTATGTATGTAGAAAATACCAAAAATCCATACATAAATTATTGTAATTAATAAGTTTAATAAGTTCTCTAATCAAAATCATTAAAAGACTGGCATTTTTATATCCCATGAACATAGAAAATGACATTTAAACATATAACCTTTACAGGACCATTAAATATCAATTATCAAATATTGCACCTAAATAATTTGTAAAGATCCCTGTACAGAATTCTGTAAACATCAATGAGAGTAATTAAAAACCTAAAGAAAAATTAAATATACTCTATTTAGATTTGGAAGACTTAGTATTGCTAAGATGTCAATTTTTCTTAAATTGACCTCTGAATTCAACCATCAGTATATTTATAGGTAGTTTTGAAACTTACAAAATGATTCTAAAGTGTATATAGAAATGCCTAGTAGCAAAAATAATGAATAACTTTTGCAGAAGATGACCAGTGTGTGAGAACTTGGGCTGCCGGATCTCAACATTTATTACTATGTAAAATTTTAGTAATTAAGGTAGTATGATATTGGTCTAGGGATAGAAATAAGTGGACAAAAGAGAGAAGGCAGAAATAGAGCCATGTGTAAATAGATATATGATTTGTGACAAATGAAGCCTTCAGAAGTGTGGAGGAAAGGTCAATCTTTTCTATAAATGGTGCGAGATAATTGGGTACACACAGAAAAAAAACCCTAAACACTGACTTCACCATACACGCAAAAATCATTATTTTGTTGATTATAGAACTACATGTGAGAAATTCTTAAGCTTTTAGGAGATAAATATATTAACACAAAAATATTTTAATGATATAGGAGAAAAAGCTCATAAAGATACAAGAAAGCATTAACCAGAAAAGAATCAATGTATTAGCTTGCATTAAATATAAAGAATTTGATTCTTCAAAAGAAATCATAGAGTGAAAATCAAGTCACATTTTAGGAAAACATATTTGCAAAGCATCAACACATATAACTAACAAAAGATAAATATAACACACACACACAGAGACACACACAGTCAATCCTCATTGTTCAAGTATTCTGTATTTGCAAATTTATCTTCTCACTACAATTTATTTGTAATCTCAAAATTAATACTTGTGGCACTTTTTTGGTCATTCTTGGTTAATTTGAGAATCACCTGATTCACAAGTTTCTGGCTAAGCTAGAATACAGCAACCTTCTGCTTTCTGTTTCAGCTCTTATATTGCAAACAAGTGTACTTTTCTGGTCTATTTAGCACTATGTATTTTTTTTTTCATTTATTTTGGTGATTTTGCTTTTTAAAATGGTTCCCAATTATAGCACTTAAGTATTAGTAATACTATAGTACTTAAGTATTAAATATA